CTAGTCAAAATGGTCCCTAGTTTTTCTTCATACATCAGAAATGTTATAACTTTGGGGATACAGGAATCCTGATTCTTGTTTGGGTACTTATCTTCTGGACACTGAACACAGTCATCCATGTCTAGAAAAGAAAATATCAGGTTAGATATAAGTCCTTAAGTTGCACTGAAATAATCAAAAGAGGACATTTAATGTCTTCAGGCTTAAAATATGAAAAGCAAGCCCACTTGTATAGTTTGCCTAAAGTTTTATTCCCAAGGTTCCATGGCCAAGATCAAGTAAATGGAATTTTGTTCTCATAAATTAATAGAACAACTGGAAACTTTATCTTTGACATTTTTCTGTAATTTTGATGCAGTACTTAACTTTAAAAAATGTATCCAGATGTAATTTATTGAAAAGCACATTCAAAAAGTTATACTTACTGAAAAGGGGAAGAACTTAAATGCGTTGTATGAATTATGGGAATGATCATGTGATTTAAAAGATGAAATGTAAAAGAGATTTATAATAGAAATTGAAAAGGGATTTTAGATATCCCCATTATAGGTGAAATGGATTTTTGCACCTAAGTCAGCACACTATTTCTCTTAATTAAAGAAGTGGTAATGATCAAATAAATTCTGCATTGAAAATATAAGCCTTTCATTAAAACAAATGAAAACCATTTGTTTTAGAAATGCTTATATTTCTAATTCCATTTCCATCTGCTTCAGGACCAATCTTTCTACTTCCCCTTGGGAAATTAAAAATCATTGAGTCAACATTCACAACAGGCAGCTAATGCTGGTGGAGAAGGAGCAGAAAGCATAATTTTCACTCAGAATTCTAAGTGGAATATTTCACCAGAGTATTTATTGTAATATGAAACAATATGTGTTTTTATTGAAAACATATTAATATTTCATGGCACCTTTAGTATTCAGCTCATTCAACTCCTGGCTGATGCTATTAACAGATGGTAGTGAGCAGAAGAGTAAGATCAGAGAAAGTGGGGGATCAGATTATAGATTATTCTATTTTGGAACTAAGATAGATCAAATGACTGGCATACCTTTATAATTCAAACAGATTGCTTCTATTTAGCATATATTTTCCATGTACTGTATGTCTCTCAATAGGTTGATAACAAAACATTAATAACTATAATCCTACCAACTCTACATTCATATGTGCAACCACAATCACACAACAGTATAAAAGTGCAAAACACTTCCAGCTCTTCAGAAGTGAGGAAAGTTTCTTAACAGAGAGGTTGCCAAGTGTGATGTAGCTGGCAACCCTAAGAAATGAAAATCATACAGATTTTAGAAAGATATTTTAAATACTCTGTCTCTATTTGTGTCTGTGCGCACGTGTGGCTTTGAGTCAGTCTTGACTTCTGGACACTGCCTGGGGACTAGTCCCTGCAGTTTTCTTGCAGCATTTTCAAAAGGGGTTTGCCCTTGTCTTCTTCTTCCTAGGGCTGAGAGAGAGTGACTGGCCCAAGCTGGCTTTGTGCCTAAGGCAGGACTAGAACTTACAGTCTCCTGGTTTCTAGCCTGGTGCCTTAACCACTGCACTGAAGTGGTTATCATGTTTAATGCTGAACAGGGTAAAAACATAATCTTGGAAACAGTGAGAGTAAATTTCCAGGCAGACTTATAGTACACCAATTAAGGGAAAGTCTGTCTGAAATGTTTCCTTCCCATTATCCCCACATCTGTGCTGTGCTGTTTCTTTTCATAAGACCTGAACTCGTCTCTTCTGGATGTTTACCACCATCTCTCACAACCAGAGAACAACAATTCTCCTTCCATGCATGCTTCTGACAACTCATCCGGCTGAACAGTGTGAGATACAGACCATCAATCAGCTGGACAACCAGACAGAAAATAGCACACCAACCTGGCTGATGAAAAAGGGTACAACTGGTGAAACCCCAGACTATGCAAATAGCGACAAACCACCCAGAGCATACCCAAAAACTGTATAACAAACCTTAAAATTAGAGCATGTAACAATGGTAACTGCAGCAACTGAAAATACATCACAAAAACAAGCCAAAAAATCTAGTAGGATAATGAAACATCTATCTATCTATCTATCTATCTATCTATCTATCTATCTATCTATCTGTCTGTCTGTCTGTCTGTCTG